ATGTGCCACATATCACCAGCCCTCCAACACTGGTGGAGGCCTGGGAAGGAGTGGGCCTTGGAATCATGCAGTAGAACTTGGGGAGATTTTCAAGACTGGCTAATCCCATCAAAGACTTTCTTTTTCAAGAGAGACACCAAAGCCAATACAGGGTAAGACACTGGCCCGGGTCACACAGCAAATGAAGCAGTGTTGGGCTGTAGGCTGAGTCTCCTTTCTAAACATTCACAGTTTCTTCTAGCCACTCTCCTTTAGCATACATACTGAAACACATAACTGGGGACTGGTTTATTCCCAAAGTGCCAGAAATTGACAGATGTCTACAATAGCTTCTTATTTACCTGCTAAAAGACAGGAAAGTATTCAAATTAAGAAAGTTAGGGGGGATGGGGGCCAGCAGGTGGCATGGTGGTTAAACCACTGGATACTCCCACATGGACGACCACAGTTCGAGACCTGGACCTGGTGGCTTGCTTTCTCACTCTTCCTCATCTCTCTCGAGTCAAATTAAATAATAATAACAAATTAAATTAAATTAAATTAAATACTTCTTAAAAAAAAAAGAAAGTTGGACAATGGAGTCAAATTACCTAGGGATGAACACTAGCTGCATATTTACTGTGTGACCTTGGGCAAAATATTTAACTTCTCTGTACCATTCTCAGTGTCCTTCCTATAAAATGGGGGACATTAGTACTTCCCTCATAGAGTAGTTTGAGGTAGTAGTAGTTAGGTACCCCTTAGCATGGTACCTAACATACAGTAAGTGCAACACCAGTATGAGTTATTGTTACTGATGTGGCACTTAACAGATTTTAGCATTCCTACACCTGGTCCCCAGGACGCTCTATGAGACAGAGCCAGGGTGGCATCTCTATTTCCTAGGTAGAAATAAAGGCTCTGGAAACCAAAGCCTTCTGTCCAAGGTGACACTGCTAACAAACGTCAGAATGGGAAACTTAAAGCCCCATCTCCCACTCGAAGCCCTTCCAGCGCCTTCCCCTCATGTTGCCATCGTGTAGTTTTTGGGGTCTAAGGACACAGAACTGGCGGCAGGGGCCCCAAGTCCACAGAACCCACCTTCATGGGACACGTCTTCTTATCGGGACTTCGCTGGGCTGCCACCTCAAAGCAGTAGGCAACCCGCTTCTCGGGGGGCCAGTGGGTGGGTGCCAGCTTCTCCATGAAGTCCTCCAGGCTGATGACTCGATGGTAAGCCTGGAGGGGCTCTAGCTTAAAGTACTTCTGGTAGGGCACATGGAGCTATGGGAGAAGGAAAAGAAGGAGCAGAGGTCCCTCCTCAGTTTCTCAGTGGCTGTTTTAGACACATATATTAAAGCCATACACTCGGTCGGGGCCAGCAGGTGGCATAGTGGTTAAGACACTGGACTCCCATGGGGTCAGCTGTGGCTTGAGTCCTGGGCCCAGTGGTTTGAAATTTATGCTGGGTGCATGTGCATGCATGCTCAAAATCCCAAGAGGAGAGTGGAGAAGGGATTGCAGCATGGCCATTCCCCCTGGGGGTGATTTCTCACTCTCTGTCTCTCTAGTGAATACACATGCTCCATAGCAAATTCTTTTAAAAAAAAAAAAAAAAAGCCATATACTCCAAGACTCAGACAGCTCAGACTACAAGACAATAAAGAACTCTTGCCAAGGGACCAGCAGTTAGCATAACAGCTATATCGCTGGACTCCCATGTAGTTGACTGAGGTTCCTGGGCCCAGTGGCTTAAACTCACGTCGGACACATGTGCGTGCATGCCCGGGATCCCGAGGGGAGAATGAAGGAGAAGGGATTGCGGCGTGGCCATCCCCGCTGGGGAGTGATTTCTCGCTTTCTGTCTCTCTGTCTCTCTCTGTCTTTCTGGCTAGCACACACGCCCTATAGCAAAAACCTCTCAAAAAAAAAAAAAAAGATACAAAAATCAGGACAGAGGCAGTCTAGAGAAGATATTTTGTAAACAAAGGAACAAATAGCAACATCCCTGTGTTCAACACTGGTTTATTCTATAATAATTCTATAAGAATAAACACAGATGGTGCCGAGAGAATATGGGCAATGGATAGGGATGAGCAGTTCACAGCAGAGGAAACCCAAATAGCCAACAAACTCAAAAGATGACCACCTCAGCAGTAAGTAGTTAAAAGTAAATTAGAGTTATAACAAGATATCACTTCTCACCCACAAAACCAGCAAGTTGAAAAGCTTCATTCTAACTACTGGGAAGGATGTGGGGAAATGGGCACTCTTGGGCATGACTGGTACATGTTAGGGCTACCCCATAGCCTAGTGGCTAAGGAAGCTGGATCCCACAGAGCCAACCATAGCCTGAGTCCCTGTCTCCAGTGGCAACTTAAAAAAATACGTGAGCATGGGTGTATGCATGTCTAGAATCCCAACAGGATAGAGAAATGAAGGTGAAGAGACAATGGTATGACCACATCCCATTGGGAGGTGCTTTCTCCACCCCTCTACCCCCAGCAAGCACACATATTCCCCAGAAATTAAAAAAATAAAATAAGTATACATTTAGGAACAACTGTTTATGATTTGTTTTGTTCCTTTGTTGCTCTCTCTCTCTCTCTCTCTCTTTTTTTTTTTTTTGTTATAGGATGCGGGCACTTGACAGAGATAGAGAGATAAGGTGAGAAATCATCCACCGGAAGGATGGCCACACAACAATCCCTTCTCCTCCATCCTCACTTCGGGATTTTGGGTATGCACACACATGTGCCTAGCATAGTTTTCTGGCTGCCCAATACAGGATTTGAACCATGCAGTTGGCCATGTGGGATCCAGCTGCCTTAACCCCCGTACCGCCTGCTGGCCCCCAAGGAGCAACCATTTTAAGATGTGATCTGTCAGTATATAATAAACTTTTTTTGTGAGTTTAATTATTGTCCATGAGAGACAGGCGCCCCCCACCACTGGGTCTTCACACTGTGATTCTACCATCAGCCTAGATCAGGGGCACACATGGGCATCAGACATGCACAAAGAGACACTGGGGTGTGAATCTGGGACCTTCCCTTGGCCTCAGCATCACAGAGCATTGCATAACCACTATACCAATGTAGCTGGCCAATATCTAATAGAATTTAAAAACTCCTTTCACCTCGGGAACCAGCAGTTAGCGTAATGGCTATGTCGCTGAACTCCCATGTAGTTGACTGCGGTACGTGTCCCGGACCCGGTGGCTTAAAACTCAAGCCGGGCATGTGTGCGTGCGTGCCCAAGATCCCGAGAGGAGAATGGAGGAGAAGGGATTGCGGCATGACCATCCCCCCTGGGGGGTGATTTCTTGCTTTCTGTCTCTATGTCTCTGTCTGGCGAGCGCACGCGCCCTATAGTGAAAACCTCTCCAAAAAAAACAAAAACAAAAACAAAACTCCTTTCACCTCGAGGTACTGTGTTAAGGAAGTTCTTGTACTTTGCAGCAGGAGAAGAGAACAAGGATGCCCGGCACCACAGTGGAGGTCTTGGAAAGAACTGGGAGGAGATCACACCAAACACACTAAGACCACCATAGTGGTTGAGAGACTAGGAGGAGCCACAGGGGTCAAAAGAGACGTCATCTTTTTAATTTTACCTATAAATACACTTTATTTCTTTTCATAGCAAGATGAAAAGATGACGCAAAGATGAAAGTATTCTAATGAATGATTATCACTTTTAGTGGTTGGTATGTGGATAGTGACTGTAGTTATCTCTGTATTTTTCTAGACTTAAAAAAATTTCTTAGGACACTATGAAATAAAATTTGGACTTTATCCTATAGGTCGGGGTTTCTCAAGCATATCCAACTAGTTCGGGTGGATAAAGATTCTTTAATGAAAAAATAATTCCCAGAGTTAGAAGCCAGGGAAATGCTGGCTTAAGCTGATTTCTTTACTGCAGGACTTCTTGGGGCCCTTAACATGCTAATGTACAGTACTAATCTACAAATTTGGAGAGAATGAGAAATTGAGAAATTTCCTAAAATGATTTAACTTCTGCACTCTTCCTGCACAAGCAATTGGCATTCCAATGAACAGACTTTAAACACCTTAACTACGAGGAGGTCTTCAAAAAGTTCATGGAGGACTGGTCCTGTGATCTGGTGGCTGAGAGAACCAGATTCCATATGGCTGACTGTGTAATTCAATCTCAGCCCTTGTGCTTGAAAAACACTTCTGGCGCCTGCGCATGAATGTTCCAAATCCCGACAGGATGGAGAAATAAAGGACAAGGGGTGGTGGTGTGGCCATACTCCACTGAGGAGTGCATTCTCCCTCTCTCTCTGGCAAGTGCACACGGCCTCTGGCAAAACAAAAACAAAAACAAAACAAACAAAAACCGCATGGGAAATACGTATTTTTAAAAAAACTGTGTGCGGATTTCAAATTGTTTTGCATCAAAACAGTTTGGCTTTAATTCTATTTTTCTACAATTCGAGGCATTGCTGAAAGATTTTAAGCAGAATATGAGATCTGCCTTTTCTGAAAGATCACTCCGGTATTAGAGGAGAGAATGTCTTGATGGTAAAATTGGAAGAGGAGAAGAATACCCTTTTATCTGTTCCAATATACAGTCAGTGGGTGTTTACCGAGCACCTCCCTCATACCAAAGTGAAAGCTAGAGATGCAAAGGGCGGTGAAGAGGGTCTGAGGGTTGAGTATGCATGAAAAGGGAGGCATTTAGGATGACCTCTAGGATCCTAGCTTGGTACCCAAGAAAATGGAGTTGACATAAACTAGGTCTGGGAATGTAGAAGGTGACACTGGGGAAGATGCCGAGTCCTGGCTTTGGGGATCTGAGATACCTATGGGACATCCAAGTAGCCTGAAGGGTCTAGGAGTCAGCCAGGCCTGTCTGGTCAGAGGGAAGTCTGAGTCATGGATAAATTGGGGAGGTTCATGGAGAATTGTGAGAGACACAAGAGTGAACAGGAATGTATAGCAAAGCAAGTAATGGTAAGAACAGCAGTGAATACTTCTGGCACACTAACCTGGTGCCAGGTTAACTGATGCTCCTCACTTTACATGGATCTGCTCACCTATTCCTAAGGGGTGGGAATATAACTGTCTCCAGTATACCCAGAAGAAACCAGGCATACTGAATCTAGAGATACATACAGTAACACTGCTAAAAGCAAACAGAAAGAGGAGACACACCAGCATCTAAACGGCTACTGCAGAAAGTGTAACCCCTGATACAGCAAGAGAGGAAATGCTGAGCGGCCAGGACTCTGAGGAACGTGCAGTAGGTCAGGCACCAGGGGAGTAGGGAAGTTCAGGAAGGAGAAGGGCTCATCGGGCCAGGTGCCACTGGGAGGTCAGCTGGGAGAAAAACTGAGTAATAACCCTGGATTTGGCCATTCTGAGGTCCCTGGTGACATTGGTGAGGACAGCCACAGTGGAGAAGGGAAGCTCAAGTGGGGCAGGTTGAGGAAGCCACAGAAAACAAGGCAATAGAGGACCAGCAGTTAACATAATGGCTATGTCGCTGGACTACCATGTAGTTGCCCACCGTTTGAGTCCCAGATCTGGTGGCTTAAACTCACGCCGGGTGCGTGTGTGTGCATGCCCAAGATCATAAGAGGAGAATGGAGAAAAAGGGATTGCAGCATGGCCATCCCCCCGGGAGGTGATTTCTCGCTTTCTGTCTCTCTGTCTCTCTCTGTCTTTCTGGCGAGCACACACGCTCTATAGCAAAAACCTCTCCAAAAAATAAAAAAAAAGCAGTAAAAAAAAGAAAGAAAGCAAGGCAATAGAGACTTGGAGAGACAATCGGCTGAGAAGGCAAGGAAACAGAGAGAGAGAGTAAGTCAGGGGGAGGTGGAGGGGCAGTGTCTAAACTGAAACAGTGAGTGCACAAAAATCAGAACATCAGGGGACCAGCAGTTAGCGTAGTGGCTATGTCGCTGGACTCCCACGTCGTTGACTGCAGTTCGAGTTCCGGACCCAGTGGCTTAAACTCACTCCGGGTGCGTGTGCAGGCGTGCGTGCCCAAGATCCCGAGAGGAGAATGGAGGAGAAGGGATTGTGGCGTGGCCATCCCCCCTGGGGGGGGATTTCTCACTTTCTGTCTCTCTGTCTGTCTCTGTCTGTCTGGCGAGCGCACGCGCCCTATAGCAAAAACCTCTCCAAAAAAAAAAAAAATCAGAACATCAGTGGCCCCTAGAAACTGGGGACATCCCATGTCCCATACTCTTTGCACAGATGAGCTCAACTGATTCTAAGAGGGAGGCACAAGACAATGTTCGGAGCACATTACCACCATTAACTCATTCAATCCTCACCACGGCAGGTATTCATGATAGAACACGTGCGTGCACATGCATGAGAGAGCTGAGCATCCGCCATAGGGTCTGGTCATCCTGCAATCTCCTTTCTCCAGTCCTCTGGCCTGTTGGATCCTAGGCACTAGGCACAGTGCGTGCCTGGCATATTTTTTCAGGTTGACTCTACTGGTGATTCAAAATGTATCCACCCTGTGGGATCTGGCTTCTCTTTGAGTAGAACATTAGCACAGCACTAAGGAGCCAGGCCATCAGGCTACTTTAAAGGTGAAGAAATTGATCTAGCTGATGGCAGGGTAGGGTGACTGGATCCCACATAGCTGACAGCATGGTTCAAGTCCTGGAGCCAGAGAATTGGAAAACACAAAAAATGCATGTGCATGTGTGCGCAGGATCATGAAAGGAGAGATGGAGAGGGGGATTGCAGCATAACTGCCCCCCATGGTTAATGCTTTCTCACTTTCTCTCTCTCTGGTGATCACACACACACTCTATGGCAAAACGAAACTTGTTTTAAATTTTAAAACAGGTGAGGAAACTGAGGCATGAAGAGGCATGAATACTCTGACCAGGCCATACAACTATGGACAAGGTAGGGTAGGAGCTCAGGTACTGTGGTTTTTTTTTTTTTTTTTTTTTTTTTTTTTTTTGAGAGACTTTTGATATATGGCACATGCGCTCACTGGAGATACAGAGAGAAACAGAGAGACAAACAGTGAGAAATCACTCCCTGGGGGTCCGGGGTGGGGGGTGACCATGCCACAATTCCTTCTCCTCCATTCTCCTCTTGGGATTCTGGGCACATACACACATGCACCCAGTGTGAGTTTAAGCCACCGAGTCTGGGACTCGAACTGTGATCAATTACATGGAAGTCCAGCAATATAACCATTACACCATCCACTGTTCCCAGTACTGTGGCTTTTAACCTTAGTTAACAGCCTCTCGAATACAGGCATGCAAAGGAAAAACAAAACCTATGCAGAGAAAAGGCTATTCAAAAAAAATGTATTGGGACCAGCAGTTGGTGTAATGGCTATGTTGCTAGACTCCCATGGAGTTGACCGTGGTTCGAGTCCTGGACCCTATGGCTTAAACTCACACCAGGCATGTGTGCGTGCGTGCCCAAGATCCCGGAGAGAAGAATAGAGGAGAAGGGACTGTGGTGTGGCCATCACCCCTGGGGGTTATTTCTCGCTTTCTGTCTCTCTTTTTGGCAAACGCACACACCCTATAGCAAAAATCTCTAAAAAAAACAAAAAAAAAAAAACCCAGAGTGCTCATCTCTCTCTCACACATACATACACTATGAATAAAGAAAAATTAAAACAAAACAAAGCAAAAAACTCTCCAAAAGAAATTTAAAAATTCAAAGATAAAATATATGTATGTACCAAGTATACTTTCTGATGTCTATTAAAAAATTTCATCAAATATTAACCAAGTTCCTACAGTGTGACAGTCAGGCCACTGGAGGACACAGAATAGGCAAGGAATTAGAGGGTGCTGAGTGTCACCATGCCAAGGGAGCCCTGTGATGGGGTGGTGCTGGAGCCAGACAGCCTGGGTTTGTGACCTTGGACACATTATTAACTAACCTGTGTCTCAGTTTCTCTTTCAAAATTGATAACAGCAGCTATAAGCTATTGATCAGTGGAATGCACGGAGGGTGGCACCGATCAGGACTGGCAGTGGAGGCTTTAGGTTCAAGTCATAGGCTGGGATCAGGCAACATGGGCTTGAATTTCAGCTCTACTGTGTGACTTTAGGAAAATTACCTAACTTCTCTAAACTTGTTTCCTCATAGGGATGTGATGAGGAGTTCTGAACTAACCCTCATGCAGTGCTCAGAACAGGGCCCACACACAGCACGTATTGGATAAAAATGACCTATTCTTATTAGATACAAGAGAGTTCTAGGTAGGGATAAGTTTCAGAGGAGTAGGAGGTAAAACCCAGAGAAGGACATGGGGGTCAAATAAAAAAGACTGGGGGGACCGGCAGGCGGCATGGTGGTTAAGGCACTGGACTCCCACATGGCTGACTGTAGTTCAGGTCCTGGACCTGGCGGCTTTTTTCTCGCCTCCCTCCAGGTTGAATTAAAAAATAACAATAATAATAAATAAAATCAACTAAATAATTCTTAAGAAAAAAAGGAAGACTAGGCAAGGGTGGACAAGAGCTAATGCCAGTGGGAAGTACTCACGTTGGTGAAGGGAGGCTTGTGATGCTGGTACTCGATCCAAGGAGGAACAGCCAAGGTGCCAGCTGTGCAAAGGCCAAGGAGCCCAAGAAGTGATCAGCCTGGTTCCCAAAGCGCCCTGGCAATGGTACAGAGGGGGTAAGGTGAGGTCTGGGATATTGAGGGCATGCAAGGCACAGAAAGAATGTTCGGTCTGGGGTGGGGAGGGCCTGGAAACCAAGAAGAGCTGGGGTTGTTGATTGCACAACAGCAAGTCTGGACTCTTGGGTCTGATATTCAAGGCCCTTCAGGCCCTGCTCCTTCTGCCTTAGCCACTCCAGGTCCCTTGCTGTTTCCCCAAAACACTTTCCAGTTCCCATCCTCAGCCCACGCCTTTGCTCTTGCTATTCTCTCAGCCAGCAGTGCCCGTTCTACTTCCATCCCCATTCTCCTGCACAGGAACGGGCAATTTCAATGCCTCATTCACTGGGATCCTCTCCCCAAGCTCCTGCCATATTAGATATCCCTCCTTTGCATCTGAGTTCTTTAAACTCCTCACTTTTCCTCAAATGTCTTTTCTCACTTCCTTGCCTTTGTACTGGCTGACTCCTCAGTCTGCGAAGGCCTCAAGGGCAAGGACCACATCTGATCCTTTTTGTTACCCCAGCGTGGCATCCATTATTCATTCCACAGATACAACTGAGAGCCACAGTGTGCCAGGCTTTATGCTCGGTGCTGTGACACAGGACTGAGGACAAACCTCTGCCCTCCAGCCACTCACAGACCAGCTCCAGAGACACTGAACCTGTGAACAAACATTGGGTTGTTGGAAAAGCCATGATGTATTTTTTTCTATGCAAAAACATGTCATGACTTTTCTGACAAGCTATAATAAAAAATGTTGATGGTGGTGTGGAGGTTAAAGGTGCTGGATCCCACATGCCCAACTGTGTAGTTCAAGTCCTGGACCCAGTGGCTTGAAAATCTCGCTAGGTGCATGCATGTGCATGTGTGCCCCAAATAATGAGAAAATAGAGAAGGGATTGTGGTGTGGCCACACACCCCCCGAGGGGGGGGGGATTTCTTACTTTCTCTCTCTACCAGGCACACATGCCCTATAGCAAAAAAAAAAAAAAAAAAAAAGGTTGAAAATTACAAGAAAGACATGAAAAGGACTGGTGGTGAGGATGAGTAAGATTATTTAGATAGAGGTAAGTGAAGTCCTTTCTGGTGATATTTAAGCTGAGACTTGAAGGACAGGAGGGAACTGGTCAGGTGGAAATGAAGCAGAGGGCCCTCCAGGCTCAGGGAATGGTGTGATAGTAAGGGCTGAAGGCCCTGAATGTGGGTTAGCAACGGGACTGAATGCAGCTGCAGCTGGAGAATCAGCGAAGGGAGTTGTGGAGATGACGGGTGGGGTCAAATCATGCAGGGCGGGGAAGGCCATGGCCGGGAGTCTGGAAGCCACTGGGGGATTTTAAGAAGTAATGACTTGTACAACGGCGATCCATCACCCCATTTTAATTGTCCCTCTCAAGTAACCCTTGAATTTTACCTTAACCTGCTTTCTTATTTTTCCACAGCATTCGTCCTCTAAGATACTATGTAATTTTTTTATGTTGCTCTTTTATTATCTTTCTCAAATGAAGTCTCTATAAGGGCACTGGTTTATTCACCAACGTGTTCCCATCACAGAGAACAGAACCCGACACAGAACAGGTGCCCTATAAATTCTTGCTGAATGAATGAAAGAAATGCCGGGAGCCAGCGTGGGACGGCAACATCAAGTTCTACCCCACTAACTCCATTATTGGACTCCAGGCTGGCTAGGATCTTGGGCAAGTCACGAAAACTCTTCCAGCCTCAGTTTTCTCATCTGTCAAATGGAAGGCTGGACACAGTGGCCCCTCTGTGTCCTAGCAACTGGGACAGAAGGAGACAAGCAGGCCTGCCCAGCTCTGGGATTCTCTCCTGGACCTGTAAAGGTGTCTCTGGGCACCTCGGAGGAGTGGCTTCTCTTCTCACGGCCTCAGTTTCTCCACTTGAGCAGAGGGCTCGGGAGGCCTTACCCATGCAGGGGCAGTAGAGCAGGTAACCAGCCGGGTCCCAGGAGCCCGCGGCCAGCCCCGGGAGCGGCAGAAGCAGCAGCAGGAGAAACTCACGCAGCAGCAGGGGCGGCAGTGCCCACGCGGCGGCGCCCATGTCGGCTGCGGAGCCCGAGCGCGCCGCGAAGCGGAGCCTGGGAGGGAAGGCGAGGAGCGAGCTCC